CAGACGATCGGTTTTATGTTCCATCACACTGCGTTAGATGTATTAATGTAAGAAAACAATGCTCGAGTTATTAAATTTGTCCTCATCGTTTTTACTTTATGTCTACATTTATGCAATCCACAGTGAATCTGCTCCTGCTGGAACGCACATATTGGAGCAAACTACGGTTGTTTGGAGATGAGATTTGCAAACACGGCGTCTACGAGTATGCAAATGGAGCTGCAGAGATCTGGCCTCGAGCAAAACAATAAAGTCCTGCCAGTACAAGAAGAACACGAGAGGAGAAATTAATTCAAAACTTAATATTCTCTGTTTTAGTGTACCTTGCGACTTTGCAATAAGGGAAAAGGAAACTCTGCCGGCTTGTACATAATTCTGTTGTGAGTCCCCAAAGACGCATCGAGGCAAGAGTCGGTCGGCGAGTCCAGCGCTTTGATCCTGACTGAAATTTCTCAACAGTTATAAGTTGCCATGAAATTTTCCACTTACATTCATGACTTCCACGCTGGCTTTGGTGTCCCCTTGACTTTTATTCATGGGGTCAAAAAATTTGATCCGTCCAATATTTCCTTGTAGGATCAAATGTCTGCAAAACAAATAATGTTCCCAGTTAGACTTTAGGACTAATTAGTAAATGTTTGCATCCTTACTTGCTTCATAAAGATGATCAACACTTTGGGGTAAACTGGCTGTTTGTATAAATCGAGATATGAAATCCGATCTAATCTGATCAACACAAACTTATGCACAAGACTAACTTTCTATTCAAATTTTGATGTTGTTTGTTCTCTTTTGAACTGGAATATAAATGTGATATAACAAAACAAGATTTTTTTAATATGTGCTAATACTAGGGATGCACGATATATCGGTGACCACATCGGTATCGACCGATATTAGTGTTTTTCCCGTATGTCGGTATCGGTCTGATGAACAAATTTAGCCGATGATTGTCTAACATCAGCGCCTTCGTCTCTACATTTGATGTTGCTGCTATTTCACAGATGTTTTTACTTAAATGGTCCTGGACATAGGGGTGGGACTTTAAGGCGTTAATTACAATTAATTAATTACAACGAAAATAACACGTCAAAAAGATTTGTCACTGCCTGTAGCACATTTTCTAAACCCTCATCTTTTACCACCGAAAGTCATCTACAGTCCAGAGCAATTCATTTTGCAAGCGAATTTGTGAACTTGTCAGATGTTGACGTACTAATTGTGGCTCTGAATCCAGTCATTTGGTCCACTGTGGGCTGCCGACGCCTCTTACTCAGACCAGGACTGCTAGCACTAACTGCTCCGGCGGTTTCTGTGCTCGCTGCTTTTGCATTGTACCGTCAGCTCGATGTGCAAATTCTTTTTTGCACAAGTTGCACAAAGCCACGCTCTTGTCCAGGCTTCCATTGGGCAGCTTTTTGAAATGAAACTTACCCTCCATCATCAAGCGATGCACTCTCATCGGATTCCTCCATGTTTGTTGTTGTTAGCGTAGCGCTGATGCATCTTGTGGACCATGAAATTTGGCGCTGACGTGTTGTCCGGATGCAAACTGCGATCAAATTTTGGTGTGGGCTTCTGTTGAACAAAAATCAAATATCGACATCGGTAATATCGGTTATCGGCAATATCAGAAATCTTGATATTGGACATCGGTATCGGCCAGAAATTTCAATATCGTGCATCACCAGTTATTAAGACTGTTTGGTTCAGTGCCTGATGAATTACAACAGTGACTGAAATGTCTATTAAATAACTGAAGCTCATTAGTTTGACACACTGCTACACATTTAACACATCCGACACTGTGTCCAGGACTCATCACCGTGCATGTAGACATACACAAAATAGTCCCCAGACAGTCCACCTGTGGGACAATTATGATTCGACAATGTCCACTTTACTGTTACTTTGTGGTCACTGATGTTTAAATGATGTCAAATCACCATTAACAGGGATGCTGTAGTGAGGAATTCCTCAAGTAGATGTCTCAGAAGTACTCTTAATTTGTCACATATTACTAAAAAACAACAAAAAGGGAAAAAGTATGTTGGTTTTTTGTACAAACAGAAAACCCTCCATAAGACTGACATGTAAACAGTAAAAAAAACACACACAGGCTTGTTCAGGATTGGAAAAATGTCACATTAACTTACCTTAAAACCAATTCTTTTACATTTTAATAACCAGCAAACTGACTCCAGTGTTATTTAAAGATTAGCAGGACCACTAAAATCCGAGACCTGAAATGAAAACAGGCCGTATCTGCTGTTCAGGAGGGGAATTATGGAAATACTTACTCTAAATATTTCACCTAAACATTAGCATTGCCTCTATCGCGCTGACATAAACCAGCTGAGCCTGAACGCAGCCTCACAGAGCCGTTTAGTTCACGTGGAGTTCACGTCGTAGCTCCACTCGGCTTTTCTATTACATTTCCTGCAGTTCTTAAAAAAAATAATTATTGGGCTTAAAGTGTTTTTGCAGCACTTCAACGCGATCAAGCTCGTGAGCAGCACGGCTTTTAATGTATTAATTAATTTGGGGGAGAAAAGAAAAAAAAAAAAGGCATTAAAAATTCTAATTTGAGTATTAGTTTTATCTCCGTTTAAAGGCAAAAAAAAAAACACAAGCTGCTCCCAATATCGGAAGAAAATTTGCACTTCATGTTCTGTATTGATAAGCGGCGGCTCCATTAGGCAGGTGGGGAGTCCAAACCCGGTCCCACGGCTCGGGAGGAAACAGAAGGAGACGTTGAGTTTCCAGGGTTCTGATGCAGACCGGCTCAGACGAGCTCCTTGATTTGCTCTGTTGTTACTCAACTTCACAGGGAACTCTCACCGGGGGGGAGGCTCGCTCTCCTCCATCCTCCTCTCTCCTCCTCTCTCCTCTATCTGGTCCTTTTGCTGGAGCCATTTTTCGCTTCACTTTCCTTGATCTTGGCAATGAGTTGTTTCCCAGAGTTCTGCTGACTGTCGTTCTGGTTGCTCCTGCACTGCAGCATCTGTTCTTCACTCAGCTCTTGTCTGTCTACTTTTTTTTTTTATCACCACCTGCTCTCCCTTTTTTTTTTCATCAGTAAATCAGCTTCTCCTGCAGTATTTGTTCTGTTAGATAGCGTGCGGTATAGCCATCAGCTCTTGGCATCAGACATCCTGTTGAGGTTTTGGCATCTTATCATATTTTCTACCTTCGAAAAACATGAAACAAGACTTGGACTCGTTACAGTCGGCTCCGCTCAAATGGGAGCCGATGTGAAGTGTTTGTTTCAGAGCAATTACAACTTTTAGAGCTGCCTTTTTTTTTTGTCTCGTCCTCCAACACTTTCCAGCAAAAGTACACCTTGAGGAGCAATGATGGAACGAAAATCACTCGTAAATCACGGCGACAAGCTGCACGGCCGAGCTGTGCGTTAACATAAACATGTAACTCTGAGCTGCTTCCTGTTTCCTCTTATTGACGTCGTGACTTAAGGAACAGCTCACTCTGTGCACAAATGATGTGTTTTTTTGGAGGGGGGATTTTAATTATATCACTCTTTTGTCTCCTGAGAAGAAAAAAAAGTATATATACGTGTGCCAAAACATTGTCTGGTGTGCCAGCATGATGAATAATACGAAGCCACTTCACTGGATATTTGCAGGATATGAATTTTCTGCACCCATAGATTGCTTTGTGTGTGTGTGTGCCGCCTTATTATGTGGAAGTCAGAGCCAGAAAGGTAAGCTGATGTTTCTTTGTGGGTACTTGCACAGTCAACAACGCTGCCCACACATTCATTACCCTTGTATCAGCTTCCCTCTCTCCTCTCTCTCTTCTCTCTCTATTCTACCAGATAAGTGGATTAGTTTGTATTATGAAGCTAAAACTACACGATTGTTAAAAAAAAAGAGGGACAGAGTTTCTCTTTGAACTCCGGTTGCTGCTTTTCTCTCGTTACAATCCTCCACTATCATCAAGGTTAATTAAAAAATTTCACCGTGGCTTCAATTTTCAAGCCACCTCCAGGAAAAGAAAAAAAAATCTGCTAAATGTGTGCCTTTCTTTCTGTCTTTTCCAGCACCTTCACTCCAGTTTCTCTCTCTGCTCTTCTTGCGAGGCTCCTTTGGCCATCATTAGAACTTAATGAACTCAGTTTAATAATCAGGGGAATTAGTGGAGTGCGGCTGTGGTGTTGTCGTGTCCTGAAGGCATTGTGGTGTTTTTTTTTTTTTTGTGGTGGTGGTTGAATCGAGAGTCGCCCTCGTGCGTTAAATGTTCCCTTTGTGTTCTCCCGTGTTCCACTCCTGGCGTCGTGGGGACATAATGGGTTGTTCCACATCTTTTCCTAATTAGTTTTAGAGCGTGTTCATTAGACTTAGCAGATTTAGTTAACTTATGGAGGAAGGGTGGGGGATCTCACAGTGGCCCAATTCCCCCGAGTGCACCCGATGTCTGGGCGATAAATCATCTCTGTCTGCCTGCTGTAATTAGGCCAACTTCTGAAGTGTCACATTTTGCACCGTGGATGTACGAGTCGGGCGCTCAGCCTACACGTGTCTCGCAATCGTCTTCGGGCTTAAATGCGATTAATTCTGTTTACATTCTCCGCTGGGTTTGTAAATGGATTCGAGTCTGTTGTATTTGTCTTTGTGATGACCGTTTTAGCGCGTCAGAGTCAACACGTCTCTGCTCTCCAGCTTCTATTACAGCCAAGATGGGGGAAAGCGAGGGCATCTTTAGTCGACTTGAACACATGTTCCCTCTGTCACTTTCTCTCAGCCAGCCATGATATTGGAAATTATTCAGCATTAGCAGCGCACGCAGCCCGGTAGTCTTGGGGTGTTACTCCCCCACCCCCAGCAGCTGGGTGTCACATTCAAATAAAAGTAAATTAGCTGTCACCCAGGCTTGGCTTGGGAGCTGCTGCTACGCCTCAGAGACGATCCGGTTTCACCGCTCGCTGCCAGAGCCGGCGAGAGGCAACAAGTCATTACGAGAACTGAAGAAGCACAATATGATTTAACGTCTTCTTTCTTTATGAATTGCAGAAATGTACACAAGGAGCGGCGAGAATAAGGCAAATCTCTGGCTGTTTGCAGAGTGGCTTTGCAAAAAATGTGAAGGATTAGACGCTTGGTTTGTGAATCTTTACTCCTCTGACGGCAGACAGGTGCCCTCTCATTATCTACAGGCCAACATGTTCTGTGGAATTGGACTCATTACCTGCAGCAAAGCCCCGAGGACAGGGCAGCCGGGTACCATCTCCACACAACAGGGTGACACAGACGGTCTTTAAAAGCTCATAAATCCATAATTTCACCACTTTTTAGATCTGCTGTATATAAATGTACCTCTAGATTAACCAAACCTACACTCACAATACATATATTAAAAGAAAATTAACCTATTAGAGAAAATTATCTGATTTTCTTTCCTCCCTTTGACTTGACAGAAGTCGTCTTTAAGCGTTAAACACACAGACGGCTAATTAGAGCGCAGCGTTTACAGAGCAAGAGCCTTTGAGTGGAAAGTAAACAATCATTAGGAAGCAGCTCCTGGTCGTGAGGCTCTGGTGCCACCCAGTGGCCGCATTCAGCAACGCAACACGCTGTCTATAGAATGTTCATTATTTATTCGAACAATAAGAGAACAATACTGAGAGAGAGAGAGAGAGAGAGAGGGGGTGAAACTGGACGATGGCACTGTGCATACTTTACAGTACGTTACACACAACACACGTATCTCGACCCCCGTTCACAGTACGACAGCTACAATGGACGATATAATCAGAGAATGACATGGCTGCACCATAAGAATAATAATAATAAAAAAAAACAAAGCTACGATATGAAGCCAACACACAGAAGCATAAATAATCCAATGAAAGTACCACTATACTGTACAAAATGTCAGTCGTGTAGTGTTTCAGACAATAATAAATATCAACAGAAGCACTGAAAACATCAGGGACGACGATACAAAGCGGCTTCTGTGGACCGGAGCACCTCATCCTCAGTGGGCTCTGTTCCTTACTAGTGATAATAATAACTTACCTATGCTCGATAAAAACCATGTTTGTTTTTGTTTTAACCGCGGCCTCCTTTTTCCATTTTATGTTTAACATAAATATCTAAGCTCGTTAACTGATCAAGAATTGATCAAACACATTCTGCTGTATATTGTCTCGCTCTAGAATACTGCACTCCTTCATTCAATAACGTCGTCTCTGTACGTTTTTAACTGCAGCTACTTTAATGGTTCACTAAATAAAGTGAGTAATGCTCACAGTAAAGGGGCTCATTCTTCTCACACTTCTCTTTTAAAATCAACTTAGTATACTGTGTATGGACTGTAGCTGCTTTTAAAAAAAATCCTCACACACCTTCAGATTTTCCTTCACTTCATTACTGGTTGGTTTCTTGTTAGCATCCAAACACGTGATGCCGAATCTCCTGGGTCTCATCATCATACTGATAAAATACCTGCACTGTTCGTGACCGTTAAATTAGGATTTACACATGCCGCCATGTGGGGGCAGCACCAGCCTCCCCGGAGAGTGTTCAGCGTGAGTCTAAGAGGAGGAGTCCTCCTCCACCGGGTGGAGAGCGTGCCTCTTCAGCAGTGTCTTTAGTATCTCCACCTCGCGCTCTGTCTCTTTCAGTTTCCTGCGTAGTGTCTCGTTGGCTTTCTGGAGCCTCTGGTTGTCCTATAAAAGAGACATGAGTGTGACACACAGCGGACACGGAGTCAGAGTGGAGCGTAGCGGCGAGCTCGATACTCACCGACTCCAGAGATTCATAGTTGGGTTTGCTGTCCTCTTCTGGCTCTTTAGGCCTTTGCACGACAGTCGCTCTGTTTTCCCACTTGGCGCAGTGTCGCTGTTTCCTCTGGGGCACCGGGCTGGGACACGAGGTGAGAGGCGGCGGCGCCGGGACCAGGAGAGAAGGCTGAAGGCGGCCGGCCTCGGACACCGGGGGTCCGTCTGTCTGGGTGCAGCTGTGGACTCTCCGGGGCCTCAGACTGGAGGTGACCGGGGAGTCGGGGCTCCAGTCTTTGCTCTCATCCGGCGGGTAGGGGAAAGGACACTCCTCTGAACCTGGGAGGGGAAAGCATCATTTATAATTACTGCAAATTAGACAAAACAGATGTTCAGCCTCTTTTTTTTAAATCTAAATTTCAAGAGATGTGAGCATTCCACAGAACAAACTGAGTCAGTTCAGTATGCAATAAAACACAAAAACAAAAAAAAAGTGCGTCAGAGAAACGAATGTTAAGAGGAGCTGTCAAAACACAGCCCCCGTGTTTTTAAGCTGCCTTTTGGTAAGTCGGTTCGTAGTAAGTAAAATCGAAAGCTCCTCTGCTCTGAATATAGTAGCTTTCTCCTAGCAGGTGGGCAGCGTGAGCATGACTGTAAGCGAAACAGTTTCTGCTGCCAGCTGGAGGGAAATCACCCTCACAGCAGACCCTGCTCTCTCTAAAGGTGTTTACTACTCCGAAATCATGCAAATGCTGACTTTTTGTTGTTTTCTGAACAGTGTGGCCGGCAGTGATTACAGGAAACGGCACTGCTTGGAGGAAAGGCTTTTAAAAGAGTCTCTGCCACCAGATGTCAGAGATGTCGTGATTGTTTTTCTGCTTCAGGTGTGGATGACCTCTGTGAACCCGACCCACCCTCTGAGGGGCCCGTGGCGACGGGCGTGGAGCTCGGCGTGGGACTGTCGGTGGAGTTGTACGCTTTGGTGTTCTTCTTGCACTCGAACGCCACCTGATCCTTGCACAGCTTGTGGCAGTTCATCCCGCAGTCTGCGCAGGGCCAAAGAGAGAAGGCACACGTCACAGCCAGGAACTAAGTCTTGACTTTGACTAACTGAACTTTCTCCTCACTTCTCTTTGAACGCTATCTGTTCTGCAAAATGCAACTCTCAGACCTGTGCACGCTTAATGTCAAGCAAACAAATAATTCTCAGATCTTCTAAAGGACGGGGGAGGGGGAAAACTGTGGTTGTGAGAGAGCAGGCTCTTTTCTTTTCTTTTTTTTTTCTTCTCTTTAACGCGCTGCAAGGTTTAGCTAGCAATATGCATCTCAGAAACCACACTTCACTTCACCTGCTCCCCACGAGCCGCTCTGTGTACCTACCCTTGTTTTCTGACACTGACTGGCGTCTGGCCAGAGACGAAAGCACAACAACTCGAGATGCTTACCCTTGCATCTGTAGCCTTGCTTGATGACACCCCACAGCTGCAGAAAGGAAGAAAAACTCATGAAGCAAAGTTCTCTAAAATTTGATCCTTCATCCTCGAGTCGTTTTACTCACAAATCCTGAGCAGTTGTCACAGAAGGTGGGTTTCATGTAAGTGGTCTCCTGGAAGTTGTGGACGAAGCCGAGACCCAGTTTGGAGCAGATGACGCTGGCCCGCATGAAGTAGGCCGTGATCTCCTCTCTGCTCACCAGGCCTTCCCTGCGCAACCACAATATAAAGCGTGCTGCAGCGTAATCGTGGAAACGGCATTTGTGCAAAGCCAACATTAAAAAAGTTGTTATTTATGTGCTTTCTTATTAGCTTACGTCTACCTTGATTTATTTCTGACAGCGGCCACACATCTGCCCCATGTGTTACACTACACACCACTCAAACTCATTAACATCAGCTGTGCTGGTTTGCGTGTCAATATTTAGCGGCGGCTTTATGGTTAGTTCTGCAGCTATTTCATGTTTCCTGTTGCTACACTACAAATACCACTCTGGCTTCCTTCGCTCTGAAGTCACAGATGAGCTCAGAGCGGGTGCGTGACCTGTCAAACACTCACTTCTCTTTGTCCATGACACAGAAGGAAAAAGGAAAGCTAGCAGCAATTTTCTCAAACTCCTCTTGAGAAATGAAGCCGTTCTCATCGTGATCGTAGTTCTTAAACACGGACTGTGAGAGACAAGAAGCAAACACCATTCTTGCTTGACTATTAGCGAACAATAGCTGCGAGAGCGTGGCTGTCAAAATGGCAGCATGCAGAAGAACGGTTAAAATAGATGATTGTGATTATATAACAGCATTATACTGAGTAGCTATGTGGAGGCTACACTTGAAAAAAAAAGAGGAAGCACTTACATCCACCATCCTCTGCACATGCTTGCTGATGGTTCGGGGATCGGGTTTTGGAGCCTCGCCGGATGCCCAGTCCACAAAAACTGCAGGTCTAGAAGGGGTGGCTGGCTGGTAGAAGAGAAAGGCGTCATTAAAAACAAGCCGGAGCAGCCAGAAACACACATATAGAAACTATATTTCCCTACATCTCAGCATAACTGGATAAGTATAGTATAGAGGGGAATTGCTAGTTTAACATCCAAATGTTCCTCTTTAGGGAAAAGACAAATATATGCAAATACACAGTTTACACTTCAGTTCTCATA